CTTCGTCACTTCTTAGAAGACATTCCAATGTAGCCAAAATCTGTGCCAGCTATTTGCATTCATTGTGATAGTCAATCTGCAATAGGTAAGGCACAGAATCATATGTATAACGGTAAGTCACGACATATTCGTTGTCGACATAATACCGTAAGGCAATTGTTGTCAAACGGAATAATCTCAATAGATTATATAAAATCTAAAGAGAATATTGCGGATCCGTTAACAAAAGGTTTGACAAAAGAGCTAGTGTATAGTTCATCGAAGGGGATGGGATTAAAGCCTATTACATAAGAGTCGTCATAATGGTAACCCTACTTATATGACTGGAGATCCCAATAACTAAGTTTAAAAGGACAACTAAGTTATGTATGGCTCGCCAGAAATCACTAAGGGATTAAAATTCTCTACCCATTCCTATGGTGAGAGTGATATCTGCAACATATGTTGTATGTAAGGGTATAAGAATAAGCTTTGTTTTTAATGATTACTTATATCTTGATTCAGGCATAAAATCAAGACGAGTATGAGGAGATACTCACAATAAGAATCACCTATATGAGTATTGAACTGGGGCCGGTTCTATGAGAATGAAGAGGCTAAATTCTCTAGAAACACTCATGAAAACCAAGAGCGTTCAAGGTCAAAATGAACACAACAGTGAGAACCACGATGTGTTAGAAAATATTTTGTGTGAAATCTATTGTCTTGGCTTACACAAACGGCTGAACAATTCAAGGCATCGCGTCCATTGGTTAGCCAGTAAGTCCGATAGGTTATCACTAGGGAAGGTTCAAGGCCGAAAGCTACCTATCTTGATGTAAGATATTTTTGACTTATACTTTTTCGATAAAGTCTGCATATTGTTGCATTTCTGTTGTCATCAAATTCCATTCATGTGAGGGATTGTTGGAAATGGTTGGGAAAATTCTGAGTAAAACTAGAATTTTTTCCTAACTTTGGTCTACTTTTTAGGTGGGACCCGAGCGTGGATTTTCGCGGGTTAAAGTGGTAACGCATTCTATGCTGCGTTGTGATTCACGTCGTATATTTGGTTGCTCAAAAACCATTACCGAGTGAATGAGAAATTGAAGCCAAAGTATGCTCCATGGAAATGGAGTTTTGGTGAAAAATCCTTAAAGGTATTGAATAAGGCTTGTCCCACATTGATTTGGTGGGAAGTTTTGAATGGGTTTATAAGGCATGGGTTTGGTACTTGGGGTGTGCCCCAAGGGGTGCCCAAGTGTTTTAGAGGGAGAGGTTATGGAGAAAATGGGCTAGACCCATTGGACCCAAAAATCACCACACGCGCGCGGGTGGGCTGGGCTGGGCCTGGGCGCGGGTTTGGGCGCTGGTGCGTGGTGTGTGGTTGGGTTGGGCTGGGCTTGTTCGGTCCGATACTAATCTTTTTGAGCCAAAAACATTTGAATTAAATTTTATTTTTTTAAAAAATAAAATTTAGAATTCAAATTAATTCCGGAATTAAACTGGTCCGATTTTTTACTGTACACCCAAACAGGGCCCTTCCCCTTTTTGTTATCTGTTTGAATTGTGAACCCAACAGATTCAAACCTATTTAAATTCAAAACCAAACAGGTTTCATACCTGTTCAAATAAATTGCACCTGTTTAAATTCAAAACCTACAGCCACCAATCTATCTATAAATAAGACAGCCCTCATTCGGATTTTGTAACTCTAATTCCGTTCTTCATAATTTTGCAAATATTCCTTTCATATTGCTGCATTACTTTCTTCTGTAAGAGAGTATAAATACTTAATGTGTTCGTTAGGCGAACAATTTGTAGTGCTGCTATGGTTTGTAGTAGATCATTTTATCTTGGAAGATAGACGTCCAAATTCTGAAAGCACCGAGGAGAGGACGAATCTGTCTTAAGGACACAGTGTCAAACACTGGACTTGATCAGATAATTATTCAAAGAAATTAATCAAGTAAGTTGTTTAATTTATTATTCTGTTTTATTTGTTTATTTAATCAGATTTTAATTTTATTTTTGTAACAAAATAAAATCTGTTTTTATTTATTTAATTTTATTTTGAGTTTGATTTTTGTAATCAAACAAAATTCTCTCATTTCCTTTATTTCTTTATATTCTAGTTGTTGTTTAGTACACAACAGAATTTAATTTATTTAAATACAGTGAAGATTGTCCAACAGTAAAGATGAAGTCCAAATTCAAGAGGGATAACACAAATTAAACTTACTTGATAAATTTTCCCAAACCCATTTCCTTAATCTCAAGCTTGACTCAATTTATTTTAACCTCAATTTAATTCATAGTCATAGATGTTCCAAAATATATTTAATTTGAGTTAAACTCTTAGATTACATTACATGCATGGGTTAATAATTAAGATCAAAACCGATATTTATTCTTTAATTTTTCCAAATTACATGCATGTAGAAACAAGGCCCAATTCATGCAAGAATACAAAAATTAAATGCAAAATAATTTATTTCTAAATTGATTTCCATAAATTGAACATAACTACATGAATTCATCATCTTGCTAACTTCTATTTATATGAAATTGAACCCAAGTTTAACAAATTTAAGAAATCATAGTTTTTATTCTTGGTCCTAACTTGATTTTACATGTCAACCCAAATCTTAACAATTTATAATTGATCTACAAAGCTTTATTTTTAATCTTCTAATACACCTTGAATAAATTTTTTGTCTAGATTTAGTAAGCAACACTAGAAAGAGGATGAAATTTCTTACCTTAAGTTGAATTTTCAATAATTTTTAGCTTAAGTTTTGATATCCCACAAGGCTTTCTTCTTCCCTTTTCTTCCATTTTCTTTTTGTTCCTTCCAGCAGCTCTCTCTCTCATTCGGTCTCTCTCTCTCTCTCTCTCTCTCTCTCTCTCTCGGCTACAAAACAGAGCTTCCTTTCTTTCTTTCTTTTTGTGTTTGAGCTTTAGGTTATACACTCACTCACACACACATACCTCACTCCTTGACCTCAACATGGCACACGTGCACTCTCCTTTGATCTCCAACACATCACATGCACACACACATACACAGATTTCTCAATGCACCCACACCCATTTACACCCCCAATACTAATTTAATCCATAATTCAATTTATGTCTAGGAATAATTTAATTAAATATTACTTAATCTTAATAAATTTTAATTAACGCAAAATTAGTTAATTATAACTAATCTCCAATCCCACGTAATTTTAATTAGTTTAGTTTGACTTCCATTAAGGCCCAATTAATTATATTTAATTTTATCAATTCGAATCAGATTTTTATTCAGACTTCCAAAAGGCTCCAAATATTAAATTAAATTTATTATCATTATCAATTTTGGTTTCCCAAATCATTTAGGCCTTCAATTTCTGATCAGACTTAAATTTCCATCAATAAATTACATATCCAATTGGACACCCCATAAATAAATTTAATTCGTAATAATCACAATTCTCAATTCTCATAATTTAATTAACTTAATTTCTCCAATTCGGATCTAATTAATCAAATCTCAATTTTACTAAACTGAATCGAATATTTAACTAAGCTCCCAAATGGGTCCATAATTAAGATTAAATTGATTCAACTTCTTAACTTCACTTCCTTAAGCCATTTGGACCCTTAATTTCTAATTTCGAAATAACTCTTTAATAGAATCATATATGAATCAAATCCCACAATTCTCATAAATCCCAAATTAAATTATAATATTCGGAAATTAAATTTCAAATCCTCTTAATTAATCAAGTACCAATCATTATACGTGATGGGGTCGTTACAACACTGTTCTCAACTCTCTCTCTCTCACTGTTATCATTGCGATCTCGGAGCTATCATCGCGATTTGACTCAACACTGTTATCATCGAGATCTAAACCATCGTGTTCTCAGATCTATGGCCATAGTGATGATCGAAGATGTTACAAAAATCTGGGTTTATCATCGTGATTTGAACATTTCAACCATCGCGATTTTAACCCTAGTTCTCTCTCCCTCTTCGCGATCGACGTCGGCGTGACAACGGCTCTTTCTCTGTGGATCAATTTGAAACCTTAGCGCTGGAGCTGGGGTTTTCAAATTGGTTTTTTTTTTTGTGTAGAGGTTTAGTGTTTTTTTAATTAAAAATAATAATAATTAAAGAATAAAAAATAATTTTACTATTAATTGATGCTAATTAGGCCATTAATTGACATTGATTATGAAATATTTTTACTAAAAATGAAAAAATGATATAAATTGAAAAAAATAAAAGGATTTGTCAAATGAATAAATGAATTACTAAAAATGAAAAAATGAAATATTACTAAAAATAATTAAAATGAATAATAATAAAGAATAATAATAATATGAAAAATAATAATAAAATTATAGTAATAATAATAATCACAGCATTAATATAAATTAGAACACGAATATTAATTTTAATGAATTAATAAATTAAACAAAAAAAAGAAAGAAGAGAAGAAAAAAAAATTAAAAAAAGAAAAGAAAATAAGGTGAAAAAGAAAAGAAAATAAGGTAAAAAAAAAAAAGTATTATAAATGAAATTATAAGTTTTATATCTTACAAGGGCAAAAATGACAATTATATAGCAAAAAGCTATTTTATAATTTATTTATCAAACACTACTCTACTATTTAAATTCATAATTTCACAATTGCACCAAATAGATTATCCGTATATATTTACAACTGTAAGTTATAATCTGTTAAGTTATAATCTATAATCACTTTTGCACAACTCTATCAAACGGGCTATATTCTGTTTCAAACGAGACTTGAATTTAAGTCTGTTCAAATCATGCTCAGCCCTCTGGGCCAGGCTGGGCTAAGTGGGTAGTCGTCTTTGGGTCTTCCCAGCCCTATAGGGTCGTAGCGTCGTTTCCAAGCGAACAGGTCTGTAACCAAACGGGCTATATTCTGTTTCAAACGAGACTTGAAGTTAAGTTTGTTCAAATCATGCTCAGCCCTCTGGGCCAGGCTGGCTAAGTGGTAGTCGTCTTTGGGTCTTGCCGGCCCTATAGGGTCGTAGCGTCGTTTCCAAGCGAACAGGTCTGTAAAAAGGGAATTCTATGATCTTACTCCAAGTATTTCCCACTTCCATACCACCCCACCAGAAAGTCCTCGTCTCTCTCTCTCTCTCTCTCTCTCTCCACAACTCCCATGGCTGACACCGACTCTATCACCGCCGCCGCCGCCTCCTGCTCCGCCGCCGCAACGGTGGCGGAGGCCAAACCTCCGGAAACCAAACTCTCATGGGGCGACATAGCCGACGAACCCGAAGAAAAAGACGCCCCATCAACATCCGACGAAAAATCCACCTCCGACGATCTGAAGATCGAATCTTTAGCCATAGACGAGACCAAAAAAGTCCACAAGTTCCTCGACGACCCCGAAGACTCGAACATCAAAGCCGTGACTCTTCTTCTCTCAATTCCTATATTTCTAGGGTTTCGATTTTGATTTCAAATTCTTATTAGGGGTTCTAATTTACTTCCACCAGGTTATAGCGGGCGATACTATGTATAACTCTGCGAAGTCGTTCGAGGATTTGAAATTGTCTCCGGACTTGTTGAAGGGTTTATATGTGGAAATGAAATTTGAGAGGCCGAGTAAGATTCAAGCGATCAGTTTGCCGATGATTTTGACTCCTCCGTACAAGCACTTGATTGCTCAAGCACATAATGGTTCTGGAAAGACTACTTGTTTCGTGCTTGGCATGTTGAGCCGTGTTGATCCCAAAGTCAGTGCTCCTCAGGCTCTCTGTATCTGCCCTACTCGAGAATTGGCGATTCAGGTTCGCTACATATGATATATCTTTGTGTATTTATTGATACTTGTACTGTAACTGTATGTTTGAACTCTTCTCTGTTTTGGAAGGGGTCCTGCTACGTTTCATGAAAACTGTCATGAAAACTATTTGCACACATACTTAATCTAACAGTGCAGATAGTTTTCATGACAATTTTCATAAAAATTCTTCATAACACCTAGCATTTTCCTTTTGGAAGTGCATGTGGTTTTAGTATTAATTAAGGTACTCCTTGGGTTGAGATTTCATAGTTGTAATCATATTTATATATGTATGTATTATTATAGTCTATTTGGAACGCTAGATGAGAAAAGAAAAAGAAAAAATAGGTGTTTTTTTTTTTTAACCAGATGAGCAAGTATGTTTGGTTTGAGTTTTTTGGATTAAATTTTTTGAAAAATGAGATTTTTGATTTTCGTATTTTTTTGTTTTTAGTAAATATTTTTAAAATTTTAAATATTTTTTTATTTTTTTAAATGGACCTTATTTAGATGTATTTAAAAAGTAAAAAATTTGTGAAAAAATATTTTTAAAAATTAATAAATACATACAAATATAAAAAAATGTATTAAATTTTCGTTTTTTTATTTTTATTTTTGGTATTTAGTGAATTTTTAAAAGGTTTCTTTCATAAGTTTTTTACTTTTTAAATATATTTATGTTAGGTATGTCTAAAAAGTAAAAAAAATTGCTTAAAATATTAAAAAATTCAGTAAAAACAAAAAAATATGAAAAATAAAAAAGTAGAGTTTTCTAGAATTTTTTTAAAAAAAATTCTAACCAAGCGTATAATTGTGTTTTTTTGCACTATCTTCTTTGAATAAATTATTAAAAAAAAAACCCTATTAGCTAGAACTAAAATTGAATAATATCCTATTTGTCGATTTAGAAAAAAAAAAAATCCTATTCTTTTTTTTCCTTTCCCAAGCTCTCAGGAAAAATACAGATCTACTCCAACAAAAATAATCCAATCTATTCCTTGAAAAAGCATAATCTTGAAAATACAACCCTAGTTTGAAATTTATCTTTTAAAACACATGCTTTATTTCTCAAAACTCTGTTCATTTTGACAAAGACTTAAAAGCTAAATTTTAATTGATCTGAGGGTTAGTTGGGGCCGTAACTGTGCAATGCAGTTTCTTTTATTTGATTTTTGTAATTCATAAAGAAAATGTTCAACCAGGGATTATCACTGGACGAACTTGTGTGTATAGTTGAGGGATTTTCTTCGTTTATTACAGTGTTTATGAGCCTAGGCTTAAATAATGGTAGAGAGTGTGTGGTTCTGAAAGTTGTTTGTGGGTTTCATGTTTTTTTGTTTGATGGCGTTCATCATTCTGTGTGTTTGATATATATATATATATATTTTTTTTTTCAGTTATCTATTCAATAAGTTATGCCATGGAATGTTTAACTAATTTTTTGTCGTTATCTATTCAATATGTTCTGCTATGGAATTTTTAACTAAGGTTGGGCTAGTGATATCTGGTTGTTTGGTGGGAATATGTTTTGCTATGGAATTTTTAACTAAGGTTGGACCAGTGATATCTGGTTGTTTGGTGGGTTTTATGTTAAAGAATTTAGAGGTTGGTTTTCTATAATGTGTAGTTTACTGTCTAATCCATGGTAAGGGTTTGTGAGTTGAGAATTGGACTAATAGTAGTGAATGTACAATGGTGCAGAACATGGAAGTACTTAAGAAGATGGGAAAGTATACAGGAATTACTTCGGAATGTGCTATACCAATGGATAGCACCAATTATATGCCAATTTCAAAGCGACCACCAATTATGGCTCAAGTGGTGATTGGCACTCCTGGTACCATCAATAAATGGGTTTCAGCAAAGAAATTGGGCATGAGTTTTTTGAGGATTCTTGTTTTTGATGAAGCTGACCACATGTTGGCAGAGGTATTATCATTTCTATTGTTTTAGATTATGTCTGTTTTATAAAACCCAAAATCAGTGTCTGGTTGTGTCTATATTTTGTGGGCGTCATTTTCCTTGCCATGCTGCGTTTGCAGTGTCTATCTAGTGACTTTTCTCAACCGTAACGTGTATGCCAACTTTTATGTGTAGACATCGACGATTAAAAACTTCTGTTTAACAAATGTTGGTACTCAGATTATCTATAGTGATTAAGGTTATTATCTGATGAAATCTCTTCAATCTCTGAGCTGTTGGTTGTTTTCTATCCATTAGCATTGTGAAAATCATTGTATATTAGGGTAACTTCTGTTTAACAGATGTATGTACTGAGATTATCTGTAGTGATTAAGCTTATTATCTGATGAAATCTCCTCAATCTCTTAGCCGTTGGTTGTTTTCTATCCATTAGCGTTGTTACAATCGTAGTATATTAGGGTTACAAACAAGTTGTACTGTTTGAGTATGTCTTGGTCAACATGTTTGATGTTTTAGCTCTGCTTGGTAAATTCTGTTTGCCATTGTTTGGTAGACTTGAATAAGTACCCTGAGCAGACATTCATGTTCACAATTCATTCTTGTACAACATTATTATATATAATTATGTGCACTTTTTTTTTTTTTTTTGGGAGTGGCTTTAAAGATGATTGACAAGAATTTCATGAATGTGTTTTGTAGCTCATTAAGATTGTTGTGGTGCAGAGTGGCTTTAAAGATGATTCCGTGAGGATAATGAAGGCTATTGTCAGAAGCACTCCAGACTGCCAGGTTTGTTGCATATCTTGCTAATCTTGTGCTTAAATAAACTTAAACCTGAGTTGCTTTGCAGATCTGATTTTACCTAGATGTTTCCCAAGTTTTTCATTTTGGTGTTGTTTGTAGGATTTTTTTTTTTAAATTTGGTTATTATACTTGGGATTGTCTGGAGTGTTGTAATGATGACAGAACTAAGTGCGTGCATGTGTGTGATGTGAGAGAGAGAGAGAGAGAGAGACAGATGTGGTTCGAATGACGTGTGGAAAATTTGGGTGGTGTCATTTGACGGTAAATGCTTCTGTAAGAACCCAGTTCTTTTTCCTGTCTAGGATACGAGTCCAAGCTAGTAAGAACTCAGTTCTTTTTCCTGTCTGGGATATGAGTCCAAGCTTTTCAAAATAATAATAATAATAATGATAAAGATTTTGTTCATATTTGGAAGTGAACATACTATTGCAAGTTTTGCTCCTTTCCTTTGTACTATCTTAAAACTTAAACTACTGAAAAAATCTTATATATATATATATATATATTCTTTTGAGGATATTTCTGAAATTCATATTGATCATATTAAGTGCTTGAGATTCTTTGCCAGTTTGATAAGCTCTCCATTTGTTAGAGCTGTGGAAAAGTGATTATAGATTATGTTTTAACAGATTATGGTTTATAACTATGAACATAAGCTGTGAACCTATTTGGTGCAGCTGTGGGATTATGGTTTAAGTTGTAGAGTAGTGTTTGGTTAATTTTTGGTTTGTAATTGTCCATTATAAAAATGATTATTTTGTCATTTTTTCAGTTTTAATTTTAAAAAAATTATTTCATTAATAAAAGTTAATATAATTAGTATTACAAAAGTTAATATAATTAGCATCAATTAATACTTAAATTAATAATAGTATCAAGTAGTATAAATTTTTTTATTTTTTCATTACAAATTAATTAGTGTCAATTAATGGCTTAATTACCATCAATTAATACTTAAATTAATAATAGTATCAATTAGTATAATTTTTTTTTTCCATTTTTTTCATTATGAATGAATTAGGTGTCAATTATTGGCTTAATTACCATCAATTAATACTAAAATTAATAATAGTATCAATTAGTGTAATTTTTTTTTCATTTTTTCATTAGGAATGAATTAGGTGTCAATTAATAGCTTAATTACCATCAATTAATACTAAAATTAATAATAGTATCAATTAGTATATTTTTTTTCCATTTTTTCATTATGAATGAACTAGGTGTCAATACTAATTAATATAAAAATACTGAAATTAATACTAAAAGAATTAATACTAAAAATACTAATAATACTGAAATTAATACTAAAATTATTAATAATAATGGCTTAATTATTATTATTATTTTTTTATTAAAAAAAAATACTGAAAACCTCTAGGGAAATAAAAAAAAGTGAAAACCCTAGCCGAAGAGAGAGAGAGAGAGAGAGAGAGAGAGAGAGAGATTTGATCGGTGACGTGGTGATCGCGACATGGGGGACGACAACGAAGGTACAGCGGCGATGTGGCGATTGCGATCTGTCATGAACAATGCCAGAGAGACAGAGAACTGCCGCGATCGCGAAGAGAGAGAGAGAGAGAGATCTGCTGCGATTTGCCAGAAATCGCCACGAACCCGAGATTGACGACGAAAAACCCTAGGTACGACACCATGGATGTAGCAGAGAGAGAGAAGAAAGAGATCTCTATTTCATCGCCTGAGCGAGGGAGACATCTCGTCGGAAATCACCAGACAGCTTCATCAAAGAGACTAAAATGAGAGTTTTTTTATTTATATACATGGTACACTTGTAATTACTTGAAATTGTTAGGGGCATTTAAGTCATTTTGCCCCTCCATGATCACCTGCACTCAAACTAAATTGATAAGCACCCTTGGAACAACTTTGAAATCTAAGCCGAAAATGGCTTAAATTAAGCTATAATCTGTGCCTTATAAGTTGTACCAAACACACCAACATAGCTTAATTTAAGCCAAAAGCTGATTTAAGTTGGAAAAAAGTTTTACCAAACAAGCACAATATGAACTGAACATTCTGTAAAGTTTATTCTCACATGATACTTGGATATTATTTCTCAAATGGTTTCTGTTTTTGACAAAGAACTTTGTTGAATTTTCAAAATGGAGCAACACGTCTAACTTAATTTTCATTTCTTTCAAAAACCAGGTGCTTCTTTTTTCTGCCACTTTTGATGATGCTGTCAGGGCCTTTGTATCGAAGATTGTTAAAGATCTCTTCCAAGGAGATTACAACCAAATGTTTGTTAACAAAGAAGAACTGTCCTTGGAATCTGTAAAGCAGTACAAAGTGAAGTGTCCTGATGAACTTGCAAAGATAATGGTAATTAAGGACAGAATTTTTGAATTAGGACAGAGGGTGGGACAGACAATTATTTTTGTTCGCACGAGAAATAGTGCAAGCATGCTTCATAAAGCACTTACTAATGATGGCTACAAGGTCACGACTATTCAAGGTGCTCTCAAGCAAGAAGATAGGGACAAGATTGTCAAGGAGTTTAAAGATGGATTAACTCAAGTACTCATATCAACTGATCTGCTTGCCCGGGGTTTTGACCAACCACAGGTGTGTACCTCTTTGTGTTATTTGTTGATGATTTGCTTATTTAGTGCTTAGAATGCTTATATCCTAACATTGCCTATTTTAATAGGTTAATTTGGTTGTCAATTTTGATCTTCCGGTGAAGCATGACTCCCCATCAGAACCTGACTGTGAGGTGTACTTGCATCGGGTTTGGAGGGCAGGACGTTTTGGCCGCAAGGGTAAGTTTTGCTGATTTTTGGATCCTGTCTTTGCTATTCCTTGAGTGCTTCGTATCAATTGTTTATTCCTATGAAGACAATTCCTGGTTGGTTCATTTTTTTCTTTGATTGATTCTGAATTTTTCATTGATCTATGCTTAAAATAATTAAAATTCTGAATTATTGCCCCGTTTGGTAGAGCTGTGGGAAAGTGATTATAATTTATAGCCTAACAGCTTATAGCTTATAACTGTGAACATAAGCTGATTTTTGACTTATAAATTAAGCTTCTCCTCCCCCACTCAAAGAATAAGTTGATTTTTGACTTACAAAAAGCTATAAGCTGTATTATTAAGCTGAATCAAATACATCAAAATAGCTTAAATTAAGTTAAAAGTTAAAATAAGCTGAAAATATCCCTACCAAACAGGGCCTATTTGTGCTTGGTCACACTGTAGACTTGGTTCAATCACTCAAAATGTGAAGTACCCTTGTATCACTTTTTAACAGTAGCTGTGAAGTTGGAGCTTCAGTTATAGAAGCATGCTGGTATTAGTAATTAGATTTTATATTTACAAATTATAGAACTTGATCCAATTTTTTGGAGTATAAGTTCTCGGAATTCATAAATGTAGTCAATAAGTTTGCATTGAATTTGAATCAGCAGCAATTATAAAAGTAAACCATTTCTTTCTTTCTTTATTGCCATTTATGGTATGAGGCGTTTCAAGTTGTGGTTATGAATGGGATATGTCAAAGGAAATTTTGTAGTTCATTTAGATTCGCCCGGTCATTTATTGATTGACCAAGGCGTTGGAAGTCCAGGTATTGGGTCAAATGCGTTCAGGTTGTCTGTCTTTTGTATGATTGTAAGATACTGGAATTTCAGCAGTTGCTACTTACTATTAACTTGGATTGTGATTCCAAACCACAAAGAATAGCCTCATTTTTATATAATTGCGTATAAAATCTGTAACTTGGGCAAAATTTGTGGCTGCATGTGTTCCCTCTTCTGTTGGCATGTTTCTGAAAAACAGCAGGCTATATTTGTTTGCATGTATCAGTAATATTGGATAAATGTGGAAGCTTGAGGAGTCAAGAGATTCCTCCCCAATTTTTCTGCTAATTGTAATTGGTTTTACTTATTCCTACAGGAGCCGTGTTGAATTTGCTGTGTAATGATAGAGATGTTATGATCATGGCCAAGATTGAGAGACACTTCAACATGGAAATAGCTGAGGTAATATTGAGATATGCCTCGCTAACAAAGTGTTACATGATGGGTCGTTGAACACACCAAAAATAAATCCTAAATTACACCAAATTCTTTTAGAATAATGGCGAGTCCAGGTATCGATCCACAGGAATAATTGTGAAATTCAACTAATTTAATTTTTAAATTCCTAAATTAATTTTGATAAAAAGATTGATTGTTCATAGCCTAATTTAATAACAAATAAATTAAACTAAGGAATTAAATTATCAATAATAAATGAAATTGGGTTTTCTAAATTGGGGGAAAAACTAGGGCAAAGAGTCCATCACTAGTCACGCAATTAGGGTTTTCAATTAAAATCAATTATGCTATGGTTTGAATGGATTAATGCTTCGCAACTACAAACTCAAAGCATTTAACAAGAAGATTATCACATTCAATGTACGAGCACGAACCATCTCAAGTAATACGAATCGTTCACTCTAAACTTGGGTAGTGATGCGACTCGTTCCTCGTAGTATGGTTCGTCTCATACCTTGAATGTGAAGGAATAGAAAATTCATGTACAGATAACATTCAACAATCACAGAAAGTCAAATATTCGAAGAAATAATGAAAGATATATAAAAGAAACTTTTAAATTACCATACAAATGTTTAAACCTTTACATAATTAAAAATCAAAAAGAAAATTAAATAATTACATGGTTAGGGTTTCATCAAAACCCTATAAAAGGAGACTAGCCATTCATGGAGGAGTGGAGGGAGGTAGATGGTGAAGAAACCACCATGGGAGACATCCTTGAAGTTTTTTGTTTATCTTCTCTTCACTTCCAAACCCTAGCCTCTCTTTAGGTCAAAACAACTTCCGAACCCTGGAAAAGTTTTTTCCTTACCTTTTTATACTTCCCATCTCGTCCAAACAAGTTTAAAATGTCGGGCTGACTTTCCCAGAAAAAGTCAACACACGTGCGGGAAAGTCTGCCTTGGGCTCAAGTGAAATGCTAGGGACTAAGTCATCCGAGTGTTTCCCCCTCACCCTTGCTCTCATTAGGTGAACCACCGTGGTTACCCTGTTAGAAAAGCAAGTGCAGACGGTGGAGCGTTGACCAAACCGTACGTGCGGCTTGGGCCCCGCACGTGTGGGACGACGATTCAAAAAAAAAAAAATTGCTCAAGGACATGCGACCTGGGCCTCGTACGTACGGGAAATTTGCTGAACTTCAAGTCGCACTCTGCTTAATAAGCAGGTGCGGGAGGGCAGATGCGCCATCAAGTCGCACGTGCGGCTTGGGCCCCGCACGTGCTGTATAAACTGCTACAAAAACAAAAAAACAAAAAAACATTAAAATTCAGCAGCATAAACCAAACCGAAATTTATGTAAACGTCACAGTATTTAGGAAGGAGAAAAAAAAAACCATTCAAATTCAGCAGCATATATGTTTTTTATTATGAAACTTCAGTAACTATGAGGTGAAACATGTCCTCAGAACCAGCTCCCCATTCCGGATCCATGCGTTGGCGAGGATGGGCCACCGAAATTTTGGGACTTCTTCATTCGTACCCAACTAATGACCGCCTCGTCCGTTGGAAGCTGCAACAATGTGGCTTAATTTGCCGGGTTGTCCCAACTATTTGCATCTTCCTCATCTTCATCCTTCTTCTTCTCTCTCTCTCTCTCTCTCTAAACCCCACACACACCCACAAACTCCACCAACCTCACCATCACCAGCTTTTCTCCTTTCTTCTTCCTCACCACAATCATCTCACCGCCGGCATCACTTCCCTCTCCGTCCGACGAATCTCTGACGAACCACCATTTTTTTTGGCGAACCTCCATTCTTTCTCTCTTTCTCCACTTTTTCAAGGTAATTTTTTCCGTACAAATAAGTTTGTGGGTTAGTTTAATTAGTTTGTGGATTGTTTTATTTTTATTTTTAATTTGGTTTGTTTTGTTAGTGATGTTATTTTTATTTTTTTTATTCTATGATGTAATTGTTCATTTAATTATTAAGTAGTTTAATTCTTATTTTATTTTATTTTCTTCTCTTCTATTAATTAAAAAAAAAAAACTGTGTTTAGTTTAGGTTATTTTATTTTATACTTTAGTCTTTTTTGTAGTTTAGTTATTTTATAGTCTAGTTTAGTTTATTTTATTTTATAATTTAGTGAATTTAATTTAATGTCATTTTTATTCATTTATTTGATTATTTTCGTTTTTTTAAACAAAATTGGTGGGAATTGCATATGGTACATTAGTGGGCAAATTTGTGCTTTTATATTTTATTTGATTCTCATGGTGGTTTCACGGGTATATGTATTTATTGTTGGTGTGTGCAGGATATGAGTCGACGTGTATCTGCTCGGGCTTCCAAAAAGGCTAGGGATTCCTCATCTTCGGCGTCACTGCCACCGCCACCACCGTCACCACCATCCTCGCCACCACCACCGGGTGACTTGCCACGGCCGGAGTGGGCTTCACGCCCTCTTCACAAGCTCACGCAGTTCAACATGCCATTTTTCCAGCGTGACGAGGACACTACTTGGGCCGTTGAGCAGCTTCGACTTCGGCAACAGTTAGGCATTTGCGCTGTGACAGCACCCACTTATCCTCGTCTGGTACGACTATTCTACCAGAACCTGTATGAGACAACCACCGATGATGGACTACTTTCTAACATTGATGGTCAGGCTGTCCATATCACCTCATCCATGATTGCCACAGTGTTAGGGTTTCTCGCCAAGCCCAAATATCAGCTCTTCCCGGCAGTTGAGGATCGACAGCCCATATATAGCCTCATCCAACAATACTTCTCGGGGGGCCAAGGTGACCTCAGTTTCACATGCTTGCGGCGGAGCAAGCTGCCTAGTCGCTTGCTATTCCTTGATTCCGTAGTCCGTAAGAATGTCCTTCCACTTGGGCCTCGAGCTGAGCTACGTTTAGAGTTTGTTCGTCTCTTACACGGGTATCAGTATGGCTATCAGGTCCCGCTTGCGCATGCCATTTGGATGCATTTGCGGAAATTTCTACGGGAGGCAGTTCGGCCTAATCCTATGCAGAACCTGACTTGGCCACTACCATTTGCCAATTTGTTGACACTTGTGTTTGAGCTAAACCACCTCCGCATTGCTGAGGATGAGGAGATTGATAGAGGATATCCGACTTTCGGCCAGCGAGAATGGCAGCATAGCATATCCCGCATCCTGCAGCCGGTTGGTGTCCTAGTTGATGAGGCCCAATACCCCGTACACGACCACCCACCTCATCCTGTTCCCCCCGTGCCTCCCCAAGGGGACCCACTCTACATGACTCGCGAGAAGTACTTACAGCTTCAGCACTCTGTGGATCAGGTCCACAGTACTCTTCGCGATCATCACCAGAGCCTCATGGAGTTGCGCAGGGATTTTCAGGCGCATCGCGACTATTCTCGGGCGATCTTCGACCAGCTGCTCGCCCACCAACAACGGGTTCAAGAAGACACCTTTGAGACGCGCTCTTTGATGCAAGCCTTGTTCGCCCAGCATCTCCTGCCACCACCACCACCACCACCACCGGCTTCCCCGTAGTACCCGCCTATATATTGTTTTGTCTCTTTTATTTTTATTTTTATTTTTCTTTTTAGTTCTTTCTTCTCTTCAAAAAAAAAAAAAGAGTATAAAGTGTGTATATATTCCTCTCTGCCTATCTAGATGTGCATCTACAACTATGGTAATATTATCTCATTTCTCTTTATTTTTCCATTGAGGATAATGTCATATTCAAGTTGAGGGATAAGAGTTATATTTTCTTTTATGCATTTCTATTTGATTCATAATTCATGTTTATATCTGTTTCACTTGATTGCATTACTTCACTTGATGTGACTTTTTGCTAGTAGGGTGATGATATTTGCATATGTTAATTGGAGATCATAGTAGACTTGTATGAAAAGGGTTTATTGGGTAGATACTTGCATGCGATGTTTGCACGAAGAGAGTTGTCTGTGTTTGTGGTATTAGTACACTTGTCATGAGTATGTCTTAATTCACATGAACACACTATCATAGCGGTGATCTTTTTGTTATAATCCCTGGTGTACATCATTGATAATAGCTAGAGTTCCAGAAAAGAATAAATGAGGAGCTAAGATTCTTAAAAAAAAAAAAAAATCACTTGACTAGTTTGGGTTTGTAGTCTTTTTAATTCGAGTTATTATGCCCGTAGTGGTAGCTCTACACCTAATGTCTTAAAACTGTCTGGTTTGGGAGTCATTGGCCCAAAACTTATTACATGGGTTAATTAGAAAGCTTAAGGGATTTAGACATTGCACAGTTAAGGAAAAATAAGAATGACTTGTTCGGATTCCTAACCTTTTCAACTCAAGTTATTAAGTCCGTAGGGGTGTCTTTACATCTAATATCTTAAAACCGTCTGGTTTGGGAGTCATTGGCCTAATGCTTGTTACTTGGGTTGATTAGAAAGCTTAATGGATCAGGACATTGCACAGTTATAAAAAAAAAAAACAAAAAAAAAAAAAAAAAAAAAAAAAAAAAAAAAAAAAAAACTTTTGAGAATCTTGGCTGCAACAGGTTAGTTTTTTTTTTCTGTATATGTTGGGTGTTATTATGAGTTACACTGGGTTATTATAGTGGACTGTTAACTAATATGGAGATTGCACTTTACACCAAGGATACTCATGACTTGTCTACTAACATGCACAAGTACAAGAACTTTACTTTTGTATTAATTGAATTGTGGTTTTGACTCAATAGGTCCCTTCATGCTTATCCACTGTGTTTTTAATGACTCATGATGTCTCAATATCACACTGTAGTGGCACATAAGTTGATTGTTAGGTGGAGTAGTGTGGTCATTTGTTGTTGAGTATATATGAATATATTAATGTTTGTGGGTATCATTTCTGAAAACCTTCACGAGACTTTACTCGTCCACTTGGGGTAACTTTGTGGTTTAAAGGCTTGTTCCATATGCTAAATGCAACCGTTTTCTCACAAAAGAGGAAATAGATAGATTTTGTTTAATTTTATTTTATTTTACTTGCTTGAGGACTAGCAAGTAGTAAGTTAGGGGATGTGATTAAGGCCGAAATGTACATCATTGAGGCTGTTAATTAGAATCTCTTAACTTCACTTGCTGGTTAAATCGTATACTTTATGTGTGTTGAATGCCAATCAGGTTGTACATAGTCGGAGCATAAAATAGGCAAAAAGACAAAATTTTGAGAGAGTTGACTTTCCCGCACGTGCATTGACTTTTTTTGGAAAAGTCAACCCGACATTATAAACCTGTTTGGACGAGATTGGAAGTATAAAAAGGCAAGGAAAATGCTTTTCTAGGGTTCAGAAGTTGTTTTGACCTAAAGAGAGGGGCTAGGGTTTAGAAGGGAAGAAAAAAACTAAAAGCTTCAAGGATGTCTCCCATGATGGTTTCTTCTCCATCTGCTTCCTTCCACTCCTCCATGGGTGGCTAATCTTCTTTTCTAGGGTTTTGATGAAACCCTAGCCATGTAATTATTTAGTTTTCTTTTTGATTTTTAATTATGTAAAGGTTTGAACATTTGTATGATGATTTAGAAGTTTCTTTTATATATCTTTCATTATTTCTTTAAATATTTGACTTTCTGTGATTGTTAAATGTTATCCATACGTGAGTTTTCTATTCCTTCACATTCAAGGTATGAGACGAATCATACTACGAGGAACGAGTCGTATCACTACCCTAGTTTAGAGTGAACGATTCGTATTACTTGAGATGGTTCCTGCTCGTACATTGAACGTGATGATCTTCTTATTAAATGCTTTGAGCTTGTAGTTGCGAAGCATTAATTCGTTCAAACCATAGCATAATTGATTTCAATTGGAAACTCTAATTACGTGGCTAGTGGTGGACTCTTTGCCCTAGTTTTTCCCCTAATTCAATAAATTCAATTTCATTTATTATTGATAATTTAATTCCTTAGTTTAATTTATTCGTTATTAAATTAGGTTATGATCATTCAATCTTTTTATCAAAATTAATTTAGGAATTTAACAATTAAATTGGTTTAATTTCACAATAGGCCCTGTGGATCGATACCTGGACTTGTTATTATTTTAAAAGAATTTGGTGTAGTTTAGTGATTATTTTTGGTGTGTTCAATGACCCATCAAATTTTGTACAACTCATAATCAAACACTTTCATACTTCAAATGATACGCATATTTGCTGTATCAACACTTCAATTTAATACACATATTTGCTGTATTAATGGAGTTCATTCCTTATTTCCTCCCAAACAGGTTTGAGAGTCTTTCCTTTATCTTCCCTCAAATCATGAAGTACATGCCCTATCTTTTCCCACACAATACACGTATTCCAAGTATATAACCAATTATCATATACAAGAATAATTCAATACACATATTTGATGTATTATTCCTACCGTCATATTCATTAACATGTTCAATGTGATTAGTTTCAGTTTTCCCTAATCGACATACAGTGTCTACAATAATCAAGAGTATCCTCCACCGATAGCACAAAGCAGTTGTTTCTAAACAGATAGTAAATACATTAAACATATATAATCTCAACATTTTCATAGGTAAGTGATAAATTAATCCAACTACACCATTCAATCCCACAATTTTCCAATTTCATGGATTTCGACTTAATTCCATAATTTCCCAAATTAATTATACTAATTAATTTATTTCAATAATTAAGGCATTTTCCCCCAATTCTCAATATCAACCCTAAGGTTTGATTTCACCAATTTAACAACAATAATTCTATTTTTCAATGTCTCACATACACATGGGTTTTAATATTTGAAAACCCTTCTTTTATAAATTACACAATAACCCCAACTTTTCCCAAAATTGCCCAAACAATCCAACTAATCAAAATGCATAAAACTTATGTCAAAACTTATAAGATGGAGTAGGGTATCCCTACCTCGAAATGAAGAGCTCAAATGGAGAAGATGACCAAAAACCAAAGTGCTCCAAATCCATAACTTTTCAAATTAAAAGAGAGCCATCGCGAAGCTCTACCTTTCTTCCAAAGGAGCTAGGGTAAAAGGCCACTAGAAGTAGATCAAACTTTAGAGAGAAGGTATATATAGAGAGAGAGTGCAGCCGTCCTAGGGTTTGATCAAAAGAGATGAAAAAAAAGTGAGGAGAATGAGACTGCTGCGAACTGATATAACACAGGCTCGCTCGAGCCAAGGATTGGTCGCTCGAGCGACTATACACAAAGATACCTCGCTCGAGCGTATAAAGACTCGCTCGAGCCAACAATACAAAGCTTCAAGTCTGCAACCCAGAAGCACGCTCGAGCGCAAGAATGCTCGCTCGAGCGAAGAAACCTAAAACATACACATCGCTCGCTCGAGCTAAGAAACACAGCTCTCAGGTCAAAATGAGACGCAGACGCACGCTCGAGCGCAAGACTTATCGCTCGAGCCACCAGACACAAAACTCAACACTTGCTCGAGCGAAGGAAACCTGGCTCGGGCGAAGGAACTAAAACACAGAGCTCGCTCGAGCGACAAAAGCCTCGCTCGAGCGAAGAACCAAAATTCTGAGCAATAACTATTTGCTCCCAATCACACCCAACCTGAACAAACCTGTCCAAAACATCCTATAACTCAAATACAAAGTATTGAAGGACGGAAACAAGATATATACAACAACCAACATCCACGGAACCAAGTCCGGATTACACTAATCAATAGGGGAAAAACCGGGATCGCTATAACCTCCCCCCTTAAAGAATTTCGTCCCTGAAATTATATACGAGTTTCAAAAATAAGTTTTCTTCAATTTTCAACAATATTACATTTCAATATTCAACAACTTGACCCATTACCTGTCATTCCATCTCTTATCAAGAGGCATTTCACAATATATATTATAACATGCATTTCTTTCAAATCCAACAATTTCCAATATACATAATTCGCAATTTCATATCATATTCAATGTTCATGATATATTTTCATTTTTACAACACATTCAACATATACAATGTTATATTAAACTTCCATTTCAAGGCAAGTTCTACAATACTCCCATAAACCGAAACATATATAATGTTTTACAACTTAAGACATTTTCAATGCTCTTAAAGTTTATCAATACAGCAAAATATACAACATGTACTCAAACATCCACAAATAGGTCTAGATATTTTTCTCGGATCTCCAATTCATGTTCCCAGGTGGTTTCCTCAACCCCGTGATGTTTCCACAAAAATTTTATCAAGAGAATGGTCTTGTCTCGCAAGACTTGATCCCGTCTATCCAAGACCCGAACCGGTCTCTTCTCATACGAGGAATCCTCATCAACCTCTAAGTTGGTCTAATCCAATACGTGCGATGGATCCGGCTCGTACTTTCGAAGCATACTAACATGAAACACGTCATGAACACCGGACAACTGCGGCGGCAAAGCTAAATGGTAGGCAACCTTGCCAATCCCCTCAAGGATTTCGAAAGGGCCAATAAATCGAGGGGACAACTTCTCACTCTTACCAAATCTCATCAAATCCCGCCTAGGTGATATTTTTAAGAAAACAAGGTCACCCACCTCAAATACCAAAGGCCTCCTCCTGCGATCGGCTGTAACATTTCTGACGACTCTGGGCTGTAACAAGCCTCCCCGGCAACGGCGCCAAAATTTGATGGTCGTTGAACACATCAAAAATAAACCCTAAACTACACCAAATTCTTTTAGAATAATGGCAAGTTTTGGTAT